GCAACAGAACCTAAAGAATTGCAGATTTGCAGCTCGGCAGCTGACAATACTCGGCTACGTTGTGTCCAAGGACGGAATTCTCCCTGATCCAGCTAAGCTTCGGGCCGTGTCCGAGTTCCCCAAGCCGACATCCGTCAAGGAACTGCGCAGTTTCGTAGGGCTGTGTTCCTAGTTTCGGCGCTTCATTCGAAACTTCGCGACTATCATATCGCCGCTGACGAAGCTCCTTGGAAGTAACGGGCCTCTCCATTCGTGGTCATCACAGTGTGACGACGCTTTCACAACGCTCCGTCGTTTGTTGACGTCGCCTCCCATACTCCGCCACTACGACCCTACGGCCCCTACAGAGGCACACGGATGCCAGTGGTGTTGGTCTTGGCGCTGTCCTTGCGCAGCGCAAACCAGGGTTCCCAGAATATGTCGTGGCGTATGCAAGCCGTACGCTTACTAAGGCCGAGACTAATTACACCGTCACCGAGAAGGAATGTTTGTCAATCGTCTGGGCCCTTACGAAGTTCCGACCTTATTTGTATGGTCGCCCATTTGATGTCGTCACCGAGCATCACGCACTATGCTGGTTGTCGTCATTGAAAGATCCCTCAGGCCGTCTCGCCCCGTGGGCACTTCGCCTGCAAGACTATAATATCCGCGTGGTGTACCGCAATGGAAGGCAACATGCTGACGCCGACGCCCTGTCACGCTCTCCCTTGCCTGATGACAACGCGCACAACTCCGCGTCTCACCTTGCCATTTCTTCCATTAGCATTCATACCATTGCTACTGAACAGCGCAAGGATCAATGGATCGCCTCACTGATCGACTTGCTGGCTGATCCATCCACTCCATCCACTCGCGCGTTGCGTCGTCAAGCCCACCATTTCGCCATTCGTGACGACCTCCTCCACAGGCGCAATTACAACGGTGACGGCCGCCAGTGGCTACTAGTCATACCTCGCAGTATGCGCTTTGACATATGCGAGTTTTTTCATTCCGATCCGCAATGTGCGCACTCCGGGGTATCGAAGACTTACCACCGCATTCGCCAACGGTACTTTTGGCGCGGCATGTACCGCTACGTGCAGAAATTCGTTCGCTCCTGCATAGATTGTCAGCGCCGAAAAGCTTCAACGCACCTATCACCGGCAGGTCTGCAATCTCTACCTTGCCCTAGCAGGCCCTTTGGGCGCGTTGGCGTCGATTTGTATGGGCCACTTCCACTGACGTCGGCTGGTAACCGCTGGGCCATTGTCGCTGTGGACCACCTCACGCGATACGCCGAAACGGCCGCTCTCCCCGCGGCTACAGCGAGCGATGTGGCCTCCTTTCTGCTCCAACGATTCATTTTGCGACACGGTCCACCCCAGGAACCGCTCAGTGACCGAGGCCGCGTCTTCCTGTCTGAAGTCGTTGAAGCAATTCTTAAAGAGTGCAACATTGTTCACCGCAAAACTGCTGCTTACCACCCGCAGACAAATGGCCTCACCGAACGCTTCAACCGTACGCTCGGCGACATGCTCTCCAAATACGTCGCCGCCGATCACACAAATTGGGATTCCATTCTACCCTTCGTCACCTACGCATATAATACCGCCCCTCAGAGCACTACTGGCTTTTCACCTTTCTTTTTATTATATGGAAGGCACCCGTCGCACACCATCGACACGATACTTCCGTACAGGCCAGATCCGTCTGAGTGGGCGCCTATTTCTGCTACAGCCAAGCTTGCTGAAGAGTGTCGAGAGCTTGCAAAGACCTTTACTGCGCACGATCAAGAGCGGCAAAATAGCATTCGCGCTGACGCCAGCACTACTGCACCCACGTTCCTCCCTGGAGCGCTCGTTTGGCTCTCGATCCCTACTACTGCAACTGGCCTATCTTCAAAACTATTGCCCAAATACGAAGGCCCCTACCGTGTCGTCAAACGCACTTCTCTGTCAACTACTTGATTGAACCGATCGAACCATCTTCGGACATGCGCCGTCGAGGACGCGACATTGTTAACGTGGAGCGCCTCAAGGCCTACCATGACCTGCTCATTGTAACCACCTGTTAGGGCGCCAGGCGGCTCCCTTTTCGTACCCGGGGTAGTTGTGGCAAAGCCTTCGAACAGTGGGTCGTCCTCTCGAGTGCCTTCTAGTGGGTCGCCCTTTTATAAGAAGAAGAGCAGCTCGTGCAGAGAGGCGTTCCCCGCATTGACTGTCGCTGTCGTGAATCATCAACGAGTGTCCGCCAATAAACGTCTTAACAATATATATATATATATATATATATATATTATTATATATATATATATATATATATATATATATATATATATATATATATATATATATACATGTAACGTAAGTAGGTATTGACAGAAGGTAGACGCTGAGGAAGAAGATGGCAGAATGGAATAAACATGGCGTATGAGCCAGGCCACGTCACCCATTCATCGTAGCGTTCACACGAGTCGGCAGGATGAAGACCTCCCAGCCACTTCATCAGTGTCTCATCATCGACGCAGTTCTCCACAAGACGCCCTGACCATACATCGACTACGGAATCATCTCCTGGCCGAACACAGCGACCAGCACCATGCCAGAATTATCGACTGCCCTTCCCATCCCCAAGTACACCGGAGCAGCGGACGATGGACCTGTACAGGACAGGTTCGACTTGTTCGAGCTCCACGCAACCGCTGCATCATGGTCGGAACGGGAGATGATCATCAACTTTACCGACTACAGTCTCCGGTGAGGCCTTCAAATTCTACCTCACCCACATATTTCAAAACGATGAGTCATTGGAAAAGATAAAACAAGAAATGATCATTTGGTTTAAAGAAGACAATGACGACTACTACGAAGACTTGCTTGTAACCCACCATCCACAGACAACTGCACTCAGTCGTCAATTTTACAGGCAGTCTTCAACCATTCGAACGCACAACAAGATTCGACCTCTGGCAAAAGACGAAGTGGCACACGAGTTCAGTGGCAGACGACAATGCGTATTTTGGGAAAAACTTAGCCATCGAGCACGCCTCCCCTTCTGCACGAAAGTCGGCATTTAGCGAAGTCATCGCTTCAGCATATGACCCCAGACGTTGCCCAACCACCTGATGCCGTTCACTCTTCGTCTGGCATACGTGATCCTACCACCTGGGTTTTCATCATGCGGTTCTTCAAGCGCTCCTAAAGCTCTCCATTTGCCTTATAAGGACGCCGTATTTATGGTAGATGACATGGCGCATCGGGAAAATGGCCTGTCGAGCTATGCTCCTTCCGCACGGGTTCATGCATCGCCATCCAGTGCATACACAATCGACAGTGGAAGCAACACCGAAGGCTCAGACGCATCGAACGTCGCACGCTGCAATGCCCAAGAACCTCTCGTAGTGAACAGGGTAGAAGAAGCTTCTGAAGAACTTTCTACCAACTCTGAAGCATTATATTCATTGTCCGAAGTGCATGACAACAGCCCACAAACTACCATCTGCCGACTGGGCACCACATCAAGTTGTGAAGAAAACCAGCGCGATGTTCAAGAAGAGATCTTACCGCATAGCGTTCCACAGCAACATCAGTAACGCCAGCAAAAGCAAGTCCAAGAATCGCAAACACTCCAACGGATACACCGACAAGGACGACGGCGCAAAGTAAGCCTTTTAAAACAAATTCAAGACGTCAGACATCTTCGCATAAGGGATCGGTGCCAGAAACGCATTCGGCGCAAGAGACCAAGTTTGCGCCTACGATTACAGCTCCGAAACAGCAGAAAACGACGAAAGAGACGAGAAGGCACCATCTGTACAACACAGAGACCAAGACATCATTCTGATTTCATCAGCTGCGACCATCGCACATGCAAACTAGAAGCACACCGTCTGTTCCCGTCACCAGACGCAACTCGACGCCTTCAACATCCGAACTTCAAATGCTACAGGGACTCCCACGCTTGTCCGTTCCTCGCAAGAACTCAACCCATGTCACCACCAGTGCAGATCTTCAGGGTGTGGTTATGCCATCCTAGAACGCAACAGCCAGCCTCGCCCACCAGAACTCCTGCGTTAATTAGACTGCTGCACTCTCCACTGAAGTCTTCGAAAGTTTACGGAACTCCTCTGGAGCATAGAAGCAATTGTGACTTTTTACATTTGTGACTTTTAACCTCTCCTTGTTTACTTTTTCTTGTTCATAATTCATGCCTTCTTTCGGGGGGAGGGGGAATCGTGTAACGTATGTAGGTATTGACAGAAGGTAGAGGCTGAGTAAGAAGATGGCAGAATGGAATAAGCGCATGTAGCATCACATATATATATATAAGGGAAAGAAGTGTATAGAAGCGTATATATATATATATATATATATATATATATATATATATATAGGCAGGCACGGTGGTTGAGTGACCGCAGCGTTGTATATAATCCAGTAGATCCTCCGTGAGCGGTCACAACGTGGTTTATTTCGACGTTTCGGCCTAGAGTCTGGCCTTCATCAATCATTTATATATATATATATATATATTTATATATATATATATATATATATATATATATATATATATATATATATATATATATATACTGTTATATGCTGTTTATCGTTTTTTAAATAACAACCATATGTCTCATTGGTATTTCATATATAGTCAATGTATTTATATTAATCTTTTGTGCTTAATTGTCTTAGAATGTTGCTCGTTTTGTATTCAAATGTGTATGGTGAAAACTTGATAGTTAAATAATTGGATGTGGCCCCAATACTAGCCCTTGGCTAAGGGGCATTACGGTGTTTGCATTTGATATAAATTTGTTTCTTGCCAATAAAAATACCCCAGTATCACACTAAACACAATTCGAAATGCATGATTTTCAATGAAAGATAATTGCATTGCTGGCGTAGATATTTGTGTTACTGTTTTTAGCTTTTTATGTGTTGCTTTTTGTCAGAAGGGCACTTGTTATTTTTGTTTTTATATATTTTTAACAAGGAGTAAGTTGGTGTAATACTCACGCTTACAACAGTATCAAATGATATCGAACGAGGAGGTTCTTTTAAGGAAGGCTTATTTTGCCCCAGTTTCCCCTGCTTCTCAGATGTTCTTTCTGTAAGGACACCAACATTTGCATGTGCAAATCAGGTAACACTATTTTGAGCACTCATTTTGCTTCGACTGTAGACGACGAGTTCACTAAAGAATCACTAGATTGCAACTGATTTCTAGACCATTCAAGAAAGAAAAGTTCTGGCGTGCAAGAAAACTCAGAATAAATTGCAGTGCGTACTGGTGGAGGTCAAGAAGTCCAATGCACTCGGAGATAAGTAATAAAAGACATGGCTGATCCTAAGTGCAGCCGAAAATTTTAGATGTGAATTAGGTTAACTCTGAGGTGCATATTAGCTCACACTTTTAAAATGACAGACTAGAGAAAAGCAGTAATAGTAAGCAGAAAGGTCGGGCTCTAACAGACCAACCATTCTTTTCTCCTCGACTTTGTTTTTTAGACTGTATTTTACAAGTTTGGGTCAATCTATACCTAACTGAACTTGTCCAAGTAGCCAAAACAGAAGCCTTACTTAAAGTCGAGGCCTTGTCCATCCCTCTCGTGGTGTCCTTTGGAGCCACTACGCACGATCGTCCCCTCCCCTTCGCTGTCCTCTAGGAATACAGTACTCTATGCAGTGGCATGCACGAAAGGTGGTGAGACAGCTACATATCTCGCTGTGGTATAATAAACTGTGGTTACGTGGTATAAAAAACTCCGCACATCTTCCAGGGCATCGAGGAAAGGAGAATGGATGTGTCATTTGTCGCTTGTTTCGAATAATTCTGAAGAGGTGTAGTTGATGAACTGGCACACACATCAGTGATTCCGAAAAGTGAATCAGTGCGCTGATCAGCTCTGATCAAATATGGGGTGTCCTCACTGGTGAAGTCCTACGTTGAGAGGACATTTATTCACCGATTGCCATGAAATACAAACTTTGCTGGACATTTTAAAGATGCACAATCTTTTGGGCTTCACAGTGGGCCACAGCGAGAATGACGCTCTATGCCTTGAAAACTCATGTAATGGAATAGGACGAGTTTCTATGGCACTCGGGGAACTGATTCACATTGGCATATCTGGCAGAGTTGACCAATCTATTGAAGTCAACAAGGTGACGCAACATTTTGAAAACAACATCCTATACTGATATGGAAGATACGAAGTGGGAGTACCCTCAAAAGATGGATTGTGGTTTTCGAGAACCAGCAAGTTGCTGTCTCAAAAATTTGCAAGCTACTCACGCGTCTAGCAAGACAGAAAGGATTATTAGAGTCATACGACGACACCATACGCGAGTACGAATGAGCGACACAGGCCGAAATAGTTGACCACGTTCCTCTGAAGCCGAACAAGTTCAACTGCATGCCACACAAGGAAGTCGTCAGAGAGCTGGTGTTGACAACTCAATTTCGCGTGATTTTTGACGATTCTTATGACAAAAGGTACCAGTTTCTTAGTACGCGCCTTGAAAAGGGAGACAAAGGCTACCGAGACCTTGGAAGATAGTTCTGCGTTTCAGAACACACCCCATAGCAATAATTGCTGGCTTAAACAGGGCATTTCTACAAAGATCAATACGTGAACAAGAAAGAGACTTCATTTGCTTCTTCTGGTTTGCCGAAGACAACTCAATCGGCAGTCAGATACAAGAATGGAGGCAGACGCATGCTTTGGTCAGAACTACATGCAGCCCGTCCCTGCTCACGGCGTTCATTTTTCACTATGTGAGGAGAACGCAAAGTGCCAAAGTTAAAACAGCAAACAAAATGGCTGTCTTAGTACGTTAATGACCTAGTCACAGGCCCCGACATGAAAGACGAAGCTGGAAAAGCTTGTCGTGAGGCTCAAGAAATCATGAAATTAGCGGGAATGGTCCTATGCCAGTCGACCCCAAACTGTATGAATTTAATGGGTGCTCTGGAATGACAGGAGCAATCAGCCAGTAAAGATCTGGTGCTCGTTCATAAAGAACCTAATGAAATCAATGGCGTTGCCAGTAATCCCACAGAGGACTAGTTCAGCTGCTCTGTCGAAAGGCTGTTATTTTTGATAAAATAAACTTGACACTAAACGGTTCATCCTGCAGGCGAAGTCGAGAATATTAGACTCACTCTGAATCGTTCAACCATACACTATTGCCATACGAATGCTATTCTGAAAACTGTAGATACGCAAAATAAGCTTATGAGCAACTACCTGATTACCTGATCAAGACTACTGCAGCTGCTTCCACAACTGCAGGAAATATGGATTCCTCACTCTCTTGGCGGAGAATGAAAGTTACCAACTGTAATGCAATTGCATCTCTTCTTCGGTGCCAGCGCAGCAGCATACGGAGCCCTAATCTACGCCATTACTGCTATGACCGAACTACCAAAGGCACGGTTCGCACCCATTAAGAAAACGACGCCACCACGCCTGGAGCTTTTGGGTGCATCGGTAGGCGCAAGACTGCTGACATACGTGAACAGTGTGCTCAACGGAATTCATATTGAATACACTATGTAAAACATACCCCCTTATGTATTTTCGCTCATAGGAGGATACTGCAAGAAGTGGAAGCCATTCGTTATAATCGCATCACGAACATCAAGGGCTGAAAAGAATCATCTCAAAGAAGATATTTCCCAGGATGGGAGAATGCCTGTTATCTACTAATGATAGGCGTTGCAATAAACAAAGATAGGTCCAGATCAGTGTGGCGGTATGGTCCTGGCTGGCTACATGGCACAACGGACAAGTGGCCTCTTCGTTGTATATTTTATTGTAGACTACCTGAACCGAGGTAGCAGCAGTTCAAGTAGTGACTGCAGCTGAGGCTTCTAATCTAGTTATAGACATCGAGAATTTCATCAAGCTTCAGTGCTTGTTGCGAATCAGAGCGGGGATATTTTGATTTACAGGCCACTCCCGACGCAAAAACAGAAGAAACTAGCCACTTGACAGCAACAGAAGTTCCTCCATGTGAGTACTACAGGGTTAAGCACATCCAAAATGAGAAATTTAGTTCAGAACGCCGCTGCCTAACGCGTGGTGGACACTGAAACCCACGTCCCGCATTGCCTACCTTCGCCGAGTTGGAGACGCTGGCGGAATTTTCAGAGTCGGTAGACGTTTTTCGCTCTTAAATTCATCACCACGAGTCAAAGATCCAATACTTCTTTTACAAAAAGCATTATTACTCCACTGTGGTTGCCATTAGAACACATCACCAAGTCTTACTTGGCAGTCCTACACGAGAGACGCTTACTTGGCACCGAGAGTGCTATTGGATTTGCCATGCGCGTATTGTGATGAACAAAAGCCCCCCACCTCACCGAAGCGACTCGTGAGGAAATGCGAATGCAATGCGTAGCACCCATAACGGCGTTTTGGGCGCGAGAACCTAGCGTTAGCACAATAACGTATTCTCTTTTTTTTCTTATACCTTGCGGCCAGTAGCTGCCATTCGCCACACGTGCTGTTTTCTGTCGCGAGAAACTCGGTATGCGTTTCCAGCTCTACCAGCTAGCGTGCATGGTAAAAAATACCATCAAAAGAACAAAACAGTGTCTTCGGCCTAGCGTTGGCGTTGCACAGCAGTGTCTCGAGCACAGATTTTTTGATGATCTTGATAGGCGTCCAGCGAGCGAACTTTTGAGAGTGAGGTGAGAGCAGACGAGAAAGTGGGACGGAGAGAGGAGAGGAAGTAAACGGTGAGAGAAGGAACGACAAAGTGCTGCACCTACTCTCTCCTACACTCTCTCGCATCACATGCTCTGGTTGCTAGGGGCAAAGATAAGACCACGCACCCAGAGTGGTTGCTTTGGTAGAGGGAGGTGGACGGATACCAACGGATGCCTGACGTAGCCCAACCAAGAAATCCATTCGCAATAAAAAGGTTATAGGCACCGTCCGCTGACCATATGTAGCTGCGTTGCTGGCACTATTCCATTTCAAGTTCGGTCACGTTGGCCGTTATGGCCATTATGGGCACGCAGAAAACAGACATGCGCACGCGTTTCCGTGTATATCTGCTGCAATCCGCCCACCCACATAGGCAGGGAGACGCGGGTATCACGTTCAATTTTGACTGACCCCAACCTCATATTGCGTTCTTTCATTGCGAGAAATTGCGTTCTGGCACTGAAGTAACACTGACATCCTCGAATGCACAGTGTCTATATGTAACTGCAATGTGCCCAAACAATTCATCGCCATCAGGAAGTCCTCCGACAGCGCTTTTGCCGATTCACCGGGTAGCACCAATAAACCCTTTCAATGTGTTGGTATAGATTTTGCCACTGGAGACGCTCTAAGGGTCCACCAATGCGAACTTATAAAAATCGGCTCCTGCTTTCGAGAATGATTTCCTGTGGAATTCATAGATTTTTCGCCAAGTTTTCAGTCCCAATGTGTGCCCACGTTCTCAAGAAATGAGTACATGCCACCTTTGTGCCAGTGAGTGTACATTTTAAATTGATCTTTTTCACGAGAAGTACAGCGCCCTTAGCGGCGAGAGCCAAAAGCAAATTTGGTGACTTTCCGGTCAAGGCGACAACGTTAGAGCTTGCACGTTCCTTTGCACACATCGCATCCGAGATGGTGTGCCTACAGGTTTCGGAGGCCACGAGCCACCAAAAATGTTCTGGGGTGGCGCCGTCGAACTATTTGCGGTACGCATCCGCAGATGGTGCCCGTGGAAAGGTCTATTTTGGGCAGTTTACAGCGTAATGTCAACAAAGAAATAAAGCCTAACCGAGGAGGCGATTGCCGGCGATGCGTTGGCCCGACGCCAACGTGACTCAACGCTCGGCTTGTTCAAGGAGTGGCCACTAAGAATGAAAAACAAAGTAGATGAAGAGGGCGCCTCACCAGAGGATTGCACGGAAGACAAGGGTTAGAAAGTCGAAAGGAGATGCTCAATGAATCCTCGGTTAGCAGTGAAGCGACCAAGGGCTCGAACAAGGCCTGCGTTGTGGGAGACGCTGAAACTAATCGTAGTAGACACGACACCAAGCACAGCATCGTGGAAGCGGAATGCATGCCGCCACTGCCCAAGGATTTTCGC